AAAATAAGACTACTCGACGAAATTAGCAAAAATAATACAAATAATTCTGGGGGGGCTAATATTCGCACTGGGGACTAAGCTCCTTCAAGCCGCCCCCCTAGATACGCCTAGGGTTATATCGTTAATGTGATTTTTAAGGTCGTTATAGGAGGGTTCTGGTATAGTCGTAACTTTGGAATTTGTAGCGGCGATTTTAGCTTGTTTGTCGGCTCGGTGTATTTTTTTAGGGATTTTCACTGAGCGACTAAAAAATGTTAAAACTCAAAGCAATCAACGTATAATACGACAGCATGATGATAGTGCGATATATATGATCAAGGTTCTAGCAAATGTATATTTTTCTTGGTTCATCCTAGACGTCCAAAGCAAGATACAAATATGTTTCAAACTATTTGGATATCATACACAAAATTTAATTTTGCTATTTTTTGCATATTTACGGGTTTTATTGCTATTTTGCTAATTAGGGTTTATAGTGCTATTTCTGAGTATATTTTGACATAATACAGGAAATAATCACATTTTGCTGATAATAATGATTTATTTAGTTATAGCTTTAAAAACATTTGGATTATGGGAAATAAATAGACATCATCAATTATTATTTTATTTTTTTATCGAAAATTCGATGTACTGATAGTTAGTGACTAAATACTATCATTTAATTATAAGTAAACTTTTACAAATATATTTAATTAATTTAATATTTTTGTTAAGTTTATAATTCAATCAGTCCAAACGTCAACATGCCCAAATATTTGTAAAATTACATTTAATTTTTTTTTTCTAATAAATTTATAATTTTTCAACATAAATGCATATTTTTTTATTTTTCTTGCTATTTATAGCGCATGTTTTAGAGTTTTTAAGTGCATATTTAAGAGCTTAAAAATAACATTTTTAGTGCTACAACATCCGAGCCTCGTATATGGTGATATTTCACGTTTGTTTCGCATAATTTCGCCCAATCTTTGAAAATACTATCGACAGAATATCACTGGGCGACATTTGTGTCGCCTAGTTAACTGGTTAAAAAATGCACTGTATCGGCTAGTACATTTCCTTCAATGTTGGAGTGGTCAGGGATTCACATGAGTATTATTTGTTTGTTTTTTTGATAGGGCTTCGTTTAATTTATGTAATTAGTATTTATGTAAGAAATGCAATTAGTAAAAATGAAAATATTTAACAAACGTAAATAGAATAAGACAAGTAAAATTAGACATAGAACATCTCCCTCATTGTTTCTACCGTCGTGGTTTCCCATATTATAAATTACTTAAATTTTAATAAAACAAGTCTGTATAGTTCCAAAATTAACAATAAATATAAAATAAAAATTCCACTTTTTGAAATAAAAATTATATAATAATACCTACAAATTAGGTTAGGTTAGGCAAAGAATCAAACAGCGGGTTACCGTTATCTAGCTAGTAATAGTAAAATTAAAAACTAAAAATACAACAAATAAATCTAGATACATCGGTCTTTTGTATTCTATATAAAAATTGCTTAAATTGTAGTATAATCCGTATTTTTTATATTAACTTGTTGCATTATAGTTTGTATTAAGTTTTAACATTATAACTAACTTGTTTAGTGTTTAAGCATGCAATATTTCACAATAACGTGAAACATTGAAATTTTTTCTAATTTTTTCTAAATATTAATGCTAGTTATTTATCAATTATTAATTATATAATCTAAAAGTTCTTATTATAATCATTGATGTGATTAGCCATTATTACTATAATAACTATATAATACTATACATATATTGGGTCTTGTTTTCGATTATTTATAGCATTATAGCAAAGTTTAGTTTATTTTCCCAGGAAGTTGCTTATCGATGACGTTGAAAATTTATCATTATATTATTCTATTCAGTGGTACAAACCTAAGGCAGCGTTTCTTAAACTGTATTCCGCGGAACCTAGTCTGTTTAAAGTAATTATTATTAAAGTATTATAATACATATATGTATATAATTATTATTATTTTAATTTTTATTTTAACAATTTTTTCGAATTAAATACCTTTAACATAATATTATTATATGATTATAATTTATTTACAAATAATCTTAAAAAAAAGATAAAAAGCTAAAAAAAAAAGTAGGGGTTTCACGATAAATGTGTACATCAAAAAGGGTTCCACGGATAAAAAAGTTTAAGAAATACTGGTATAAGGTATTAAATATTTTCGAATTTTTTTTTTTCTTATCATACAACCAGAATTAGATGATTACAAACAATTGATAATAAATCATAATTAGATAAATAAAAATAAATATATACAATTCTGAGTCTATATGGATATAAATATAAATATAAATAATAAAATATAAAATGCATTAATAGGTAACAAATATAATTAGAGATATAAATAGAGTTTATTGTAGTTTATGGTAACATAGTTGTTAGATTTCAATATTTGTTTTAGTTATAGGTTTAGATTATCCTTGACCAAAATCTTGCTACTTCTATAGTATTTGAATTTGCTTGCAGGAGATCTTCTCTCAGGAGTTTCCGGAGTATGTTGTTCCTTGTAGCAATTTTTAGCTTAGTTTTCTCACAGTAGTGTTTATACGTAAGGGATCGGTTTAGCATAACGCCTAGGTATGTGGAATGTGCTGAGTTATCTAGTTTGGTACCTTGCCATTCAATTTCCAAAATTCGGTCTACCTCTCTGTTTTTAAAGTGAGAAGAACAGACTTGTGTCTTATTTGGGTACGGCTTAAGGAAATTTTCATCATAGTAATCGGACAATACCTTGAGTGATTCTTCTAGTGTACTTTCAACATTTTGGAAAGTGTCACCTTGGGTGGCTAGGACTGTATTATCAGCATAAATGAAATGTTTGATACCGGCCTGGGTAAGTATCGGCTGGTCATTAGTGTATATGTTAAAAAATCGTGGGTGCTAGTACACTACCTTGTGGGAGGCCATTTTTCTGAATTCTCCATCTACTAACCTTTCTTTCAAGTTCCACACAGTATCGTCTGTTATGGAGAAGGGTGTTTATTGTCCTGGCAAGTATTTTATCTTTAGTTAGATCCTTGATCTTAGAGATCAGAAGGTTATGGTTCACTGTGTCATATGCCGCCGTTAAGTCCATAAATATTACTCCAGTTATTTTTTTTTCCTCATAGCCATTCTCTATATGTTGGGTAAGTCCCAATATTTGTCCAGTACAGGACCTCCCTGGTCTGAAACCGCCTTGCTCTTTGATGAGTTTAACATCTATGAATATTTTTAGCCTGTTTAAAATTAATTTCTCATATAATTTGTAGGTATGGCAGAGAAGGGAGATGGGTCGGAAGTTTTTCGGGTCTTCTGGGGTTTTCCCTAGTTTTAGAAGTGCTATGATTTTTGATTTCCTCCAGGATTTGGTGATTTTTTCTGTGTTTGTGATATTGTTGAAGAGTTCTAGGAGCCACTTTTTGGCAATCGGCCCCAAGTTCTTTATTTGTTCTGTGCAAATATTGTCTACACCCGCTGCTTTTCTATTTTTCAGCTCATCAATGGCGGTTTGGAGTTCTAATGGTGAGAAATAGTCTCTCAGTATTGATTCCTCCTCACATTGTTTTCCATCTGAGATATATTTATGCTTCTTTTTCTTTTCTTTTTTTATATTTGTTCTACCATTAATGAGTAGCTGATGAGCTACTTGATTTGCTGTTACTACTGATATGCGTGTTTAAGGTTTCGACGGATCGCAGTCGAGTTTCTTGATAAGCCCCCACGCTTTACTGCTGCTGTGTTTCATATCCACATTATTGAGAAATGTGTGCCAGTTTGTCCTTCTTACCTCTGTAATATTTTCTAATAAGCGTTCGCCTTCCTTGATTGTATCTAGATCGAAAGGGTCAATTTCGTATCGA